TCTGCAGAGGTAAACTATACAAGAAGGGTCATCTGGGAATGCACAAGTTGTGTGTCGAAACAGAGGAATCAAAGCGTCTAATGGAGGCCATCCATGGAGGAGAGTGCGGAGCGCACATAAACGGAGTAATGTTAGCCCGGAAGATTCTCAGGCAATGTTACTATTGGTCTACTATGGAGGAGGATTGTATTGGTTTTGTTTGGCGATGCCACAAATGCCAAATTCATGCTAATCGCATGAACATCCCACCATCGAAGCTGTACAACATGACTTCACCATGGCCTTTCTCAGTATGGGGAATCGATGTCATTGGCGCAGTCACGCCAAAAAGGTCGAATGGGCATGAATACATTTTGGTGGCAATTGATTACTTTACAAAGTGGGTGGAAGCTCAATCTTATGTAGTGTTGAAAGCAGCGCATGTGGCTAAGTTCATCCGAAACAACATCATTTGCCGATATGGAGTCCCAAACGAGTTCGTTTTAAATAATGGCTGCCATTTCAAGAAAGAAGTGACAGACTTATTTAAAAAATACAATGTGGCTTTTCATAAGTCATTTACATACCGACTGCAAACCAATGGAGCTGTTGGGGTCGCTAACAAGAACATCAAGCATATTTTACAGAAAATGGTCGAGACCTACAGGGACTGGCCAGGCAAATTGCCATTTGCACTCTGGGGCTATAGAACTTCAATCCAGATGTCTACTGGGGCAACGCCTTATTCTCTTGTCTATGGGATGAAATTTGTTCTGCCAATCAAAATAGAAGTTCTGTCGCTGCGGGTTATAGCTGAGTGTCAGATAGCAGAGGCGGACTAGCAACAGAGCAAGTTCGAAGAACTAATGCTATTTGATAAGAGAAGGCTAAAAGCATTGTACCATGTTCAGGGTTATTGTGGATGCGCCCGAACGTCCCGGGAGAATCCCGTTTCGTTCATTTGGGCTTACCACAGTTCGGACTCAAATGTCACGGTTCTGAATCTAATCTCACAATGTGCGATGTAAGATC